GCTATGTGGCTACCAGTTACAATTTCTATGGCATCCTGGGGTTCTCTTGGAGCTCTCCTATCCCAGTTTGATCTTGCTTAATTTGTTACACCAGATCTCATCCCTGGTTGGCTTAATGGATGCAGTGTAGAGAGGGGGATAAAAATAAATCCAGATCCATAGTGGTAGGTAACAGCAGTCTCAGATGTCAAGGGACAGTGAGACCATCAACAACATCCTAAGACAAAAAGGGACTTAAAAAAGTGAGAAATATTGCTATCCAGAAAAAGGTATTAAAAATGAAGCATCTGTGCTCCGAGTCATTATAGGCCCTTGACAGATGTGATCTTACCAGCCTCCCACTGTAGCTGCAAATAAAGACCCCTTCTCTTTCTTCTCTCCCGACAAGGATTAATGAGTACTTGGGATAGCTCTCAGACAAGCAAGCAAAGGCTGTGAACCTTTTCCAACACTGCAATTTATCTTGGGAAGACTATTCACATCACTTTTCCCTCCCTCCCCAGGCTGGATTATGCTCTGACCTAGCACATTAATCTCCCAAAATAAAATAATAATAATAGAAGAAGAAGAGAAAAAAAGAGCTGGACAATTGCCAGAAATAAATTAATAACCATCTCGAATTGCCCTGCTGTGCAGGAACAAACTGCTCAACTCCCCTGCCACCCATGTCATTTGTAAGCAAAACTATTCCCAGTTTAGATATCCTCTTAAGTGCCCTGCCTGAGACTTTCAGCGATTAATGATAATATCTTGCATCTATATAGTGCCTTTCATCCCAACAGCTGCCAGAAAGTTTCCTTACCAAATGCAAATAATACGCATTGCTGCGTTTGCCACTGAAATGTAGATACTACTAAGTGGAGGAAGGGACAGCATGACAGATCTGTCAGAGTAAAAAAATATGAAAAGGTATTTCAACAGAGAGAATGTAGTGAGAAAGTTTCAAAAGTTAGGCCTAATCTACATATGATTTTATAAACATTTAAGTATGTTAACGATTTAGTTAAAATATTTCTTCACTCATGGTTAGAACTGGCGCTGTCTTTTGCGGCATCAATAGCTTCAATCTAATACTTTCCCCTTCTTTGACCCAAGTGGAAAGGCAAAGAGACAAGTACTTGCAATTTTTTCACATTAAATGAAGAGATCTGTGCTTCAGAAATACCTATTTACAGAGATTACTCCGAAGACAAGGCTTAGAACAAAGTCAACCAGAAAAGCAGTTATCTCATTGCTAGTACCTCTTCCTTCTCAAGCAATGCTTACCTCTCTCTCTCTCTGGACTTCAATTACTTGCTGGCATTACCAAACCCTTGCTCAGGTCTGCGATGGCTCAAAACCCAAAACTCACTACCCAGGTGACTTTCTGCTGAAGTTTTATCAGAGATTTTATTATTTTTGTTCTTCCACCCATATTTCATGCTGCAAACATGTTGTAAAGGCATCAGATTATTAAAGACAAATAGCTGTATATCAAGAAGAAAAGGCACTCTTACCTTTGACTTGACAGCTAGGATGATCTTAGGCAGGGCAACAATTAGGCATTTCAATGCGATGGTGAGGTACTTAAGTACAAAGTCTGCGATCCCCACAATCCACATCAGGTCGAAGAAGTCCAGCCTCTCAAGGTTGGGTTTCAGAAATATAAGGCTGAAAGGCATGACAAGGCGGCTCAAATACCAATGAGGAGAACCTCACTTAAGCTTCTTGATACCAGCTGTATTCACTGCTGGCCAGAGAAAGCCTAGACACTCCACTGAACTTCAGTGAAGCTCTCAAGGGCAATAGGAATAAGACATGCAAATTAGTCCCATGGTTCCTTTGGGCCTCTTGACTTTGTCTGTTCTTGCCCATTTCTACTGAGGTCAGCAGGTTTGCCCACTATCAGAAAACAGGACCCAAACACATACAGAATCTGTTCTGGAAGACTGTAATTTCCATAACCTGCAATCCACACTGTAACAGAGCCTTTGGTCTAACGACAGCGCCTTTAGTCCACAGGCTTGCTCTATCAGATCTGATTGTAAAAGCTTATCCTTTGAAGTCCAAGTCATCAGTAAGTATGATTCCTTGGGGAAGTCATGGCCAAGTCAAGATGACTACGTCTTGTTCCTCTGAGGCTGGCTGGCCACAGGTAGAACTACTGCAGGGGCAGCAGTCTCTAAAGCTATTTGTGCATGTGAAACAAAAATGAATGAACAAACTGGTGACAAAGGAAGCACTGTATTAAACATGGCAGAAAGGTCAGAACTTCAGGTGTGTCGTGCTCTGACAGTGGCTTGCTAAGAGCTGGGCTGTGTTAATTAGCAACTCTTACCTGAACCAAAGATCCAAAAAGGTAGTGACCCTTAGGTAATGTTTTTGACTGGGCTGAACATTTAGTCTTTAAAGAAGGGGAATCCAAGGACAGCAGAACTTCATGTAGCAATGGGCAGGAGCTACTGACCTGAGCAGCAATGAGGACTGGACCCTACTCACACTGAAAAACACGATTCCTCTTCAGGATATTTACCTACTAAAGCCTCATGATAGAAAGCAAAAACTTAAAAAAAAAAAAAAGCAAAAGTAAAATAACCAACCCAGAATGAAAAGCCTGAACATGAAATTAAAATACTCACAACATTGGCACAGCACAACAGGTAAAATTACACCCTAAAAACAGAAACAGAATCAGAGACTTTACTACTATTCATGCACTAGAAACAAGCGAAAAGTAAATAAATCAGGAAATTAAAAATAAACCAGAAAGAAACAAAACCGAAGTAGCTATTTCTAATTTCACAGGCCTGCCTCATGAATAGTCACAGGTCCCCACCCAGCAAGCAACAGATACACTAGCCCAAGCATGACACCGCAGGCACCACTACAACACTTGCAGGAATAGGGCTTTTCAGTGAACCTGTTGCCCGGTCTGTTCACTGTTGATGAATCACGCCCTGAACAGTGTGTAGGATGTCCCCAGTTTGCTGAAACCCTTTTATTTTAGATGATCTGTCCTTTATTTTAAACTAGTCCCATTCATGCTTTTAACCTTAACCACCTTCTTAGAGACACACTGTTTCCTTGTGGTGCAAACAAATTTCTTCTTAATGCTTTCACACCTTTCTGCCATACCTGTTTCTTCTCTTCCATTCCCTCCCACGAGCCCTATACAGAGTATCCCATGGCTTGCCATCCCTCATTCGGACCCACACATACAAGTCTTCTCATCTCTCCTCCTTTCTAGAAGCATTTACAAACACAGCTTTCCAGTGATCGAACCAAAATACGTTAGGGGCAATTCCAAAGGATACCAAGGTTGTGGGCAGACCTCGACTCTTCCACTGCATAGACAGTGTTGGTGGGAAGAAGCAGGGAAGCAATGAAGTAAATGACAGAAAAAACATACCCAAGAGCCATCCAGCCATAACCCAACTGATGCGTGTTACACACATTGTATTTTCAGTCTGGAGTTCTAAGACTCCTTCAGTGGGACAAATAAAATTGGGAAGATAATGTGTATGGTTTAGCTACTAATATCAAAACTACTTCTTCCAGTAACTAGGTTTGATATTGCTCTGTTACTTCCTATCTACTCCTAACATCCCCTTGCTTAAGTTCTGTATCTTTGCTTCCTATCTGTCATTTAATCACTGCTTTATAACAAGCAGGGATAGTACTGAACCAAATCCATAGGTACTAACTTTTCTGCATTTGAGAACCGCTTTAGCCAGAGGAGGCTGTCTTAATTGCTCCAGATCTAAATGCCTCCAAGCCCTGAGACCACTGAAGTAAAACACTACTATTTAATCTACAGTTTATCTCCTGTCATAGACTCAAAGCTTGATAGACTGAAGAGAAAAGAAAACATTACAGGAAGAGGAAAATCAGTGGGTCACTTTCTTATCTGCTTCCAACACCTGCTCTTTATGTTCAGTCACAGCAGTCACAATGGAAATTCCGAAGTCCCACTATAAAAAAGCATCCACCCTGCTTTGACACATAAGACACGTGTTTCAAGCAGCAACACTGTAGTATGTCATCACACCCTGGCCCATTTAGACCCTGGTTATGTCATTTATTGATAGGAGCATAGTCCGCTGGTAGAAGCAACGCACACATTCTTTTCCTCCATCAAAAGGTATTACAAAGATGAAACAAAGACAGCAGATGATACCTTAGGTATGCACACTTCCTCCCAAAGAGTGGGGAAAAGTGGGCTTCCCTCTTTTCCTCCCTGGCAATTACCACCTGCTTCTACCATGTACAATGCAAAGTTTGCCCACCTGTTGTACAGCTGCTGAGAGCTGAATGTGTAAAGCAAGTACAAGGTGTTTCCAGTGAGAAAGGCCAGGATCCAGAAGACAACCAACACTGATCTCTTCTCCTAAGCGAGAAAAAGAAGCAGAGAAGATAAATTCAAAGACTCAAGGGTTGTGCTGAGCCTTCGACTGCTGAAAAATGCAGGACTAACCCAGGCGACATAAATATGCAACTAAGTGTTCAGTAATTAGTTTATTTACATAGGACTAAGACTCAGAAATAGGCTGCTAGGTACAGACGTATACAAACACAAGCAGAAGTAGGTCTCACTCACCTAACCTTTTCAAATAAGCAACTTTAGAGAAATTAATGGAAATACACTGGTGAAAATGACAGCCTTACTTGCAGAACACAATTTTCAAAGTTGGGATCTTTCTTGGGACATCTAAACTCTCTTGATACTTAAAACGCAGTTTGATAAGCAGGTTAAAAAAAAAGACAGTTCTGTATATTGTACTACAATTCTGAGCTGCCACCTATCTGGAATGACACTTCATGAACGGGGTGTTTTACAAATAGATCCAAAGTCTCTTACAAGAAGGCTTAGCTAAATCAAATGTAACATAACCCATCGCTACATGCAGTAGACATGAATGTTATCTGAATGCATCGAGGTTCTAGAACATGCATTTTTGATCGAAGAAATAGTTAAAGGTCAAAAGAAGTAGAAACTTTGCATTTCAAAAGCAAGGAACATTACAGACGGAAGCTGGATGGCAGAAGACCTTGTCCTGGGTCTTGGCCCAGTATAATTTTGGTGAGTAAATTTTACTCCTGGGAGGAAAAAAAAACCACAGCATTTTTCTTGTGAGCTGATTTATTAAGAAAATAGCTCTTTGTAGCTATTCAACAGCCAGGGATGTTAGGTTGAGATTTAAAGCAGGCGGATTAATGGGCACACTGCTGGAAAGACAGAGGTGCAAAGTGCAAGGCGACAGCAATCTATTACATGATTGTGCAATTTATCTGTTCATTCAGCACCGTATCATGTTTATTCCACTGCTGCTGGTAGCTATAATTATACACTTGTGCCACCCATGTCATTTTTACAAAAAAGCAATTTTAGTCTTGCGCTTTTAGTGCTGTTGAAGTATTCTGACACTGAAGATCGTAAGACCTGAAAAGATCTGGTTTCTTTATATTCTAAGCATATTACCAACAGAGCATTATAAAGATACTAACAAGCAGTATACCTACAGCATCGTTCAGCTGAACATCTCAAAACATTATCTAAATGCTAATAAATTAAATCTCATCATGAACCAGTGAAATAGGTTTCAGCACCTCTGCTGTATATAATGGGGAAAGGTGCAGAGAAGTGCTTGAAGATGCACTGCCCATCACTGGCAGAACAAGAAGCAGGTTACAATATCCCTGACCTTTCTTCTCTTCGTTTTACTATGCCACACTTTCGCAAAAGAACAGGATGGAAACTGTGGGAGAGAAACAATGGGGAGAAGCACGAAGAGGAGGATTACAGCACAGTACTCTTACTCTGATAAATCTGTATCCATATGATGGCATTTATCCCTACCTTGCAAAAGAAGGTTCAACACAGACATTGTTTTGTATATAAAGAGCAATTTTGTTTGGAAATGTAAGAGAATAAGATGCCATACTCACCTTCAGAGCAACCTGTTCTCGGAGTGTTGAGTTGGCATATGCGAATGTGCTGGCCATACCAATACACACAGCAATCCCTGCAGGGAAAGACACTGTCAAAGTATATAAGGCTGAGTAGGAGGATCTTCAGTCCTAAGCTATTTGATATCAGCATCTCAAGCTATCAAAAAAATTCACTGGGTGATATTCTGGATGCACTGGGAATTAAAATGTATAGGCAAATAAAACAGGGCAGTCTGGCCTCATATAATGTTCAAATGCAAGCTAAATGAAAATGAAGCTACTGCAGTGAGCACTTGCCACGCAGCCCAATACAAACACTGTCCTAACGTCAGGTCCTGTGCTGCAGGAGAACAGAAGTGCTGCAAGCGGTGGCTGCATCACGCAAATAGAACACAGCTAGATGACAGTATTACAATAGCAGTTCAGCAGTTCATGAAGGACAGGGGACACTATCAAAACCATACAGGATAGCAGGTCCAAAGAGCAAGATGTTGCAGACATGAATCGATACCTGGTTTTGGGAATACTGGCAGAGCTGTGGGTGGACTAAACTCAAGCATTACTGGCTTCCCTGGGATAATAATCTCAGTATGCTGCTCCCAGAATGAGTAAGGACCCTCAGACATGACACACATACAATTTTGTAGTAAGAGGAGGATTAGATGAATAGATTTTACATGACTACTGAGGGGCTAAAACACTCAGGTACTATTAAAGCAACCTGGATAGACATATTTTTTAGGGAACTCTGATGATCATGACTGCAATGTGTAACTGCTGATGCTGTTTGGCTTGATTGCACAACTACCATCCTTCTAGCTATACAAGTGCCTCATCCCTCTGAGCCCTTCTATGCTACACAGAGGCCTTAGCTCATCACTAATGTAAGCTCTCCCCATCTCTCCTAGAAAGAGATCTGAGGGAGAAGCCTCAGTGACATCGTCAGCCCCCTACAGGAATGTCAAGGAGAGATTAGGAAACTATATATAGAACTATATATAGTATATAAACTATATATAGAAACTATATATAGTATAGAACTGTTCTCCCACGGGTCAGGACAGGAAACATGGGACTGACACAGATGAAAACAGCTTGGACTGAAAGTAGGGTGAATTTATGAAATGCATTATGCCATGCATTTGAATACGTCCCCTTCATGCTAGACTACCTCTAGCCACTATCATGTGAATAAATGTATCACACACCACAGCATGATAAAACTTCCTAACCACCTTCTAATACACTTGCAATACAAAAAGTGTAGATGCTTACCAAGCTTATGCTGGAAACAAACTTTAGCCAGGAGGATCAAGATGAAGGGAAGTCCCTTCTGCAGCCAACCGATCACAGCTTTTAACTCTGAAAGAGCTGGGGCTGGAGTTCCAGCTTGTTCGTCACTGCCTTCCTCAGCATGCCCATGGCGGTCCCCTCCTGCCATGTGCAGTAGAGATGAACCCCGGTGATGGCCATGGTGGAAATGATGGGATGATTGCCGGTGGTGAAACGGGGCTCCTTCTGTACGACTGGTCCCTTCCTCCCTTGGGGCTGGCATCTGAATGAATACTTCCCCCCCTCCGGCTGAAGAGCCCAGAACCAAACCTGACTGGAATGGCGTGGCTGTGATGGTGCCCGACGGGATACCTGCCAGGCCTGAGAACAGCTGTTGTGGTGAGGAAGCTTCAGCCTTCAGACTTTCAAAAACACCACTTTCATCCACGCTGGTTTCAGAACTGACTGTTTGGCTCCGGTTTCTGCAGTGGATGGAGATTAGAGAAAAGTGATTAAACAAAAATGAGTGCCGCAGAACTTCTCAGTCTTTTAGCCCAGTCCTGACTGTTGTCATTTAAGAGTTCCTCACACACTATCAGAATACATAGATCTCCAGATGACAGATGTTTTTCACTCTATTTGCTGTTGGAAAGTCACAGTTGCAGAACTAGAGGCCAGTAATGACTTGTAAGGCAAGACCAGAGTAATTGTAAAGAACTGATCAAAATGCACCAGCTCTTTCATCTAAGGAACAGAATTCCCGAACAGCCCCTTTACTTTTGGAGAAAACAAATAACCCATCTGATACCAAATTCAACATCTTCTATAATGATTTGAATATTTAAAGAAAAACATACAAAACCCCATGTAACTTTACACAGTGCAACCAAATTAATCAAGCTAACTCAAAGAAATGGCCTACCCCTAAGATCTTCTGGCTTTATTTAGGGATGATTGCTACTTGCCTGCTGATGAGTAACACAAACAAGAGACAGAGTCAACTGGGGAAGAGAAGCGTTGAGAGCTGCTTGTGTGCCCCTGACCCAACAAATACTATAAGTGAAGGATGTGCTCATGCGTTAAGAGAAATTGGTTCATTTTTATATTCTCGGCAAATTGGACATGGATGTACCCAAATTACTGGGCACTGGACAGAGTTAGATCTGGCACTGATTCTTTCCTGAGCTTGTTGGATTATAGACAGATTCCAAAAAGAAAGTCTTTCTTCATCCTAATACCAAAAGAAAATAAGCTTTCGTCACCTGAACTCAGTACTGTGATACTGAAACGAATACCTGTAAAGGTTAGGTGGCAGGGAACAATACAGGTAACAAGTAGAACAATCATTAGGCAGTAAACACTTGGCACACAACAAATACCTCTCTAACTTGCACAAAGAGAGTAAAGAATAAATAAAGCTCAGCAAGAGGCAAAGCCCACAAATAAGGCATGTTGCAGAGCTTCAGTCTCTCTTGATTTTAATCCCTGGAGATCTCTAACTTTAGAAATAGTGGTCACAAGCTGAGACACCACATGCAGGCACATACAGGGCCCTTAACCCTCTCTCTCCCATGGGTTCAAAAGCCTCCCCAGGCATCTTACAGGGCACAGAGCACTGCCTTTCATCGCACTCTGGAGATAGCTTCAAACCTCTCAGGGCATACCTTCCCACTGAGTAAACTCCTAATAAGGCTTTTTATAGCAACACCCCATTCCCAGTGTCTCACCACGGGCTCCAGCAAGGAATCAAGTCAACAAGATATTGCACACTTCTTCTTGGATCAAAATATTCATCACCCAGATCTTGGATTTTACACCTAACATTTCAATTCAGGGATGTATACACAAGACAGGGACATAGCGTGACAGTACTTATGTGTGGGAACACAAGAAACAAATTGGGTGGAACCCAGTGTTACAGATAAAGGCACTTTTTTTTTACTGGGACATATTTAAAAACAAATAAACAAGGATGGAATTGTGAGTCTGCCGAAGTTAACAGAAGTTAACAGAAGACTAGTGGGCAATGGCATTTCATTCTACAGTTAGAAAACCTTCACCCTATGTTACTGTCAATATGTATTTACCCTGTTGAAAAACAGAAGCATTTATAAAAACCATGGACATTACTCTGCTTATCTTTTGCACTCAGTAATAGACACCTATCCTGAATATATTTTAACCACTCAAATAGACCCCAAAGTGCCTTACAAGTTTGTACAGAATTGGAGAGCTCTACATTGCAGATGAGAGGGCCCATACACCGTCTTATGTGCCTCTCAAGCCCCAGGCTTGCCTGCTGATATAAAACCCACAGATTGCACTGGGGCTTGGCAGCATCGTGCAGAAAAAGTTGAAGATGGCTTTCTTTTCCCTTGAAATTAAGAATGGTACCATGCTAGAAGTGGTTATGACATCAAGCTTCACTTCTACCTGCAAAACCACTAAGAAACACTTAGTGACTGCTTGTGATCACGATCTTTCACTTACTATCTCAGCTCAGCCAGAGCAATGAAATTCGTTAGTTCCATCTTTGTCTTAGAGTAATTAGATTAGTTTCTTCTTTAGGAATAAAAAAAAAGAGTCAAGCTCTAACCCTGCAAAAGCACAAGGGAATATTTAGTACCAGAACAACAACAGTGGCAAGCCTCCCTTGCTGATGTTATAATTACAGAAGCGAATTAGAAGTATTCTACTTCTCAATATTCACATACATGAAGCTAGATACAGATTCTGGGATGATGTAAAGGATCACCCAAAATCTTTATAAAATACTAAGTCATAGCAGTTAGGAGCTTCAGACCAGCAGACTTTTAAAACACCTTCATAACAGAAGTATAAATACCCTCTGCTCATACAGAGTGATCCTTTCTGATTGATAGCACTCAGGATCCCCGTAGGACTGTGACACGAATCGCTCTTCTAGAGCTCCAAAACATCCTGCCTATGCTAAGCCAACTGCCTCCATATGTGTCATACCACATCATGAAACCTGAAACACTGTAGTTGGCAGCAGTCAATAACTGACATGAAAGAGAAAAGCAAATCCATCTCTAAACTCTCTAAGCTCCAGCAGAAAGCCTGGCCACGCTACATGCACAGGAAGTATAGGCCTTTCTCACTTTTGAGCTTTCATCTTCTAAAACTCACCACACACTTAAATCAGAACATTTCCCTCTGGAGAGGAAAATGGAGGAAAACAGACGGAAAAAGATTTACCTTTCAGGAGGAATGTTGTCAGTGTTGCTGCTATGCCGTCTCTGCATTTTCCTCAAAACCTTAAAACACAACACGCTCAACATTAACGTTGCAGGTCAACAATTCCCAGTGTGACTACTAACACAGGCCCACAGAGTCAGAGGGTTGCAAAACCCACTCAGCTAGTGACATGGCTGGCATAAATCATTTGCTTCTCTGAAAGAGCACCTCAAGCTTGCATTTGTTTCTTAGTGCACTTGTGAAGAAACAACTTTCAACTGGCAAATGGAAGCGCAGATACACAGGTCTCCAAGCAGGGCAGGAACTAGTCAGATCCCTTTTTGCCGTATGTGGCGGTCTCGAGGAGTGTACAGCCGTATGATGACATGTTCTGATAAAGAACTTGAGGACACCTAACAGAGCAGCTCTCGATGTGACATGTGAATCGACACACGCTCTCTGGAAATGAAATCCCTTCTTCCTCTTCTGAAGGAACTCAGCAAAACTGAGAGGGAGGAAAAAAAGAAAATGTATAAACATTTTTAAAGAAAAAATAGAATCAATGAGGTCATGACAAAATTCTTTTGAATAAGCAACCCATTCCTTTTAGACCACAAAAATGCCATTAGCAAACCCTGCACAATGGTCATAAATAATATGCACATATGCAAAAGATCACATGCTCCTGCTCCACTCATTTTGGAATTGTCAGCATAAAGAAAGTAAGGTCTGGCCTGGGAAATGAAAAGGTACTGAAATTGTATTAACATCAGGACCTGTTTCTAGAATAAGGAGGGAAGTTCTTTATTTAGTTATTTAAATCTCTGCTTTCAAGTGTCTAATTTTAAGGGAACAACCTCAAAGACATTACACCTTTTCAAAATAAAGTTAATTCAAAAGCAAAGAAGAACACAGAATCGTCATCATCAAGGCCCAGTAGAGTACCTGACAAACAGTCTTACGCTGCTTAATGTTATATTAGTTATATAAAACCTGAGGAATGGGCTAATTTTGCAAGTGATTTGTCCACATTCCCACAAGCATTTCATAGAAGATTTAGAGAGACATCCTTTAAATATTGAAGTCTGATCCTACTCAGCCCTAGACTACGATAGCTACTGAATAAAATGTAAAAGGCTCTAAATACTTTTGAATATCAGAAGTTATAACATTATTTATAACATTTCATACTGCATAACTGTATGTAAATAAGTGTGTAGCCCTGTATCTGTATTCTGTAAAGGCGCAATGGCTCTGAGAACATTTCCTAGCTGTCTGTAAGCAGAGGTATGGAAGCTGAGAAGTAGAAAATACAGAATATTTATTTTTTCACCTATATTTTCACCTTTTCATTCACATTCTTTACTTTCAGTGACCCACTAGCCCATGCAAAATTGCATTAAATTCAAATTTTACCCCTTAATAAAGCCCAAATCACGCAGTTCACAGTACATAAACAGACAGTTGTGTTTATCACATACACCTGCAGTAAAAGTACATGTAATTTGCCCAGCCCTGAAGATAAGTTACAAAACAGTGAAAGAAGAAAGGGTACTTCAGTTAAATTACACAGGTAACTGTATTGAATTTGTAACAAGATGAGAAAAAAAAAATGTTAACATTTACAAAAAGAGGGAAAGACTCTTGGCTTGCAACATCTGGTCTTGAAGAACCCCATTGAATGGGCTGATCAGAGACAACACTGGATTTGAGTCATCATTGACAGAGAACACGGAGGTTAAGATGAGATGCCAACTTGGACATCCCCTTGACAGTTAATATAAATACACACGTATCTATGTAAATAAAATTTGGCATAATCATATATGGCAGGAAAAACACAGCTTTTAAGGCATTTTATGGAGGGGATGCAGGAAGCCATCACGAGTACCAGAAATCTAATTCTAACCAAAGTTTTCTGATATCCTAAGTTACCAACACTCTCTTAACTACAGATTTTGATCTTGTAACTCCCAGCAGTTTTTTAATCTCTAGCTATATGTTCCAATTTGTGTTTTGTTTTCACGGACAAAATTCGTTTATAAGGATCTGTAAGTTTTTTACAGTAAAAAAAACATATTAAAGGATTTTTCCCCCCCCAATTTTTTAAAGCTGCATTTGTAGTAACAACACTTAGTACTCCAGGAATCTTTTATGCTTTCCCTGTGATAAGTGTTATTTAATCCTAACCTAACAGTATTTCTGTTGACTTAATATATACTATTATCCTCTTTTTACCCAAAACAGCAATTAAGATATGATGAAAATGCCAAGACAGGCTGACCCATGCAGGCAGAGCTGTCCCACCTGTGAACAACTTTGGGGTTGCTGCTTATAAAGAAATCTGTCCATCTTCCCATGCTACAAGCTGAGAGCTAGAGTCAGTGTGGAGATAACTCTAAAACTTGGAAAATCTGTCACTCCCTTCTAGACCATTAGCAGTCTACTAGATTGTAATGTGGGGTGAAATCATGTTCCAAAATGACATGCAGTTCTGTGGAGAGACACTTTTTCTTCTGGCATCAGCCATGAAGGAAACAGCGACATGAATGCTAAGCACTGAAGATGCAGGACTTCCTGAGATGTAATCATCTGTTCTGCCCAAAGTCCTATGGATTTAAGATCAGACAGAATTCAAATGGACTTTGCTCCAAAAGGCACTCAGCTTCAATACTGATTGGTCCTACCTTTTCCGGATTAGGGTTTTTCATCTTGCAACACTTGAACATTTTTTAACAGTACCTGAACAACAGGTCTAACCAGAGGTGGAAGGTGCCACGGTGGGAGAGAGGGAAGCTTAAGAGGGTGCAGACATCTCATACATGGAGTCCTTCAGATCATCCAAGATGGTCCAAATTTCAAACTCATCACAGGTCCTTCAAGCTGGATGATTGTAACGCACCTGGATCACAGTGCTCAAATAGGCGCATCTGCAAGAAGCACACGCATAGAGTCATTTTCACCATAGCGCAGTGAGATTCACCTCTCCATCTCCTTGGGAAAGGCAGAGAGGAGCAGGAACCATTGCTGCTTCAACCCCTGCACGCATGCATGATCCAACAAGGCCAATTTCCTCTGGGATTGGCACCTGCAGCCCTGCTCACTGCACAGGCACCCCCCGGGCGCCTGCTGGGCTGTAATCTGCCTTCGTTGTGTATACACACATGCACGTTTTGAGTGTGTAACAAATAAATATATTTATATATACCCGCACATACGTGCGGGTATATATAAATGCAGTTATATACATACACACATATATATGTATACACACAGAGAGACACAGGCGAGGCCTTTTTTTTCCAGTTAGGTGGGGGAAGGAGATTCCCGCTGGAGT